TCCCCCCTTCTTTCGCTTTTCTCGGCCTCGGAGACGCCCGAGATATGGACCATCTACGAGAACCTCCTTCTGGCCTGCCTGCGAACGGGCGACAGCCAGGCAGCACACCAGTGCCTCGAGAGGCTGGTGATCCGATTCGGGAATGAAAACGAGCGCATCATGGCATTCAAGGGTTTGGTGAAGGAGGCGGAAGCTGATAATGATGGAGAACTTGCACAGGTACTCAAGGAGTACGAGACAATACTAGGACAGAACGCGACAAACATTGTCAGTTGCTCCTCTGCCATAGTGTCACGGCAAACGCTGACCTTGACAGCCTGTTGCGAAACGTCGCGTCGCCCTTTTGAAGTCGACAGGAAAGACATCTGAAGCAATTACGGCCCTCAATGGTCTCGTTGACTTCAACCCTACAGATGCGGAGGCGTGGGCGGAGCTTGCCGACTTGTACCTTTCACAGGGGCTATACTCACAAGCTATATATGCGCTCGAGGAAGTGCTTGTGCTGACCCCGAATGCATGGAACGTTAGTGTCTCGTAGAGTCGACTTCTGATTGTGTTTCCGACTGACCACGACTAGATGCATGCTCGTCTCGGAGAGGTATTGTACATGGCTGCATCGGCCTCTGAAGGCTCTTCACAGCAACAATTGGCGGAATCAGTCAAAAGATTCAGCCGCAGCATCGAACTCTGTGATGATTATCTCCGGGGTTACTACGGACTGAAACTGGTGCGTGCCATAACGCGTGATAATGGACCGGCAATTGGGACTGACATGCTCTTCAGGTTACGAACAAACTTATCAAGGAACCGTCAAAGCCGTCGAGACAATCAGACTCGGAGGACTGGACCCTTCCTGACGTCGGTACGTTACAGAAGCTCAACGAGCTAGCAACGCAAAAGCTGGCCGACATTGTACGCCGCAACGGAGCGCATGAGAGGCTCTGGCAAGGTTACGATGAATCGGAAGTGGCAGCAGCCCGAGATCTGCTCTCGAAGGAGTCAGTGGACCTTGTGAGATGAGCACCGCGTCATCCGAAGACGAAAAGCAAACGACACTGGATTATCTCATATCGTGACTGCATGGTCACATTAACGGATTGGCATGCCAACGGGCGTGCTTTATGCACATCATATCAGGCGAGCAGCCATCATCGGTACAGGCTGTACGTCAGAATTAGCAAGCAATCGGAACATTCAAATCAAGTAGTTAACGAAGCTGTGCCTGCAACAAAACGTTCACGTGCTACTGGCAATACGCGAGTATCCTTGGCCCGTCGGCCAGCCAATCGCGGACATGTCGCTCAACATTGGAACACGAAGAGACATTCAGCGAACAGCGGATCGTGTCGCTCGGGCGCTATAGTGGCCGCAATCGATGTCGAGACGAAGCTTGGGAGACTCTCTAGCTATTGGGCAGGAACAAAAGCGAGTCTGGCAGTGGGGATGTTTCACAGATAGGCAGAGGCCGCCGCCAATACCGTCGAATGAATTATCTACCGCTCTCTTCTATTGCCTCGAGGTCCATCGATCCCGCCGCGGCCACACCCGTAGTCGTGCCCAATTGTCGCAAACTGACATTCACTAGGTGGCAGAGCTGCATGTCATCCGACGTTCCAGGCGTGTCGTTGGGAGCCCGATGGGCCAAGGCGGCCCACAAGATGCGCTGGCAGTGAGTCAGTGAGTTGATCCGCGGATGGATCTCAGGCACCGTCATTCGAGACCCTGGCTACCTATGCAGAACAGAGTGCGCCGGCGTCGTGAATTAAGACCCGTCGGGCAACGACGAAGCGGTTTCGGGCTCGAGGGTCGTTGGCAGAATGGACTGACGAAATACACCAGTGCCAATCAAGTTGCGCGGTAGCCTTTGAGGTGTCACTTATATATCTGGGCTGTGCCATGTAAGTAAGCTGAAGGCAAAAAAAAACAGGCACTTGTGTCGGTACCAAATTCTTTGACCGCCCCTGTTATCCCCGTATTTTCTCGATTCCTCTGGCGCTTTAGACGACGAAGAGAGATGAATAAGCTAAAAGTTGAGAGACGCCGACGAGATACCTACCACAGTTCGGACCAGTCATCTACAGAAGACAAGCATTGTTACACAAACTTTGTTGGTCCGCTCGAAAGATCACCGCCGCCCATTTTTGGTTCCGCCTACGCTTCCAAACCATGTCGTGTATTTCTGAGAAGACTGTTACTCCTCGAATTATCAAGCAACTAGACAAGACCAAGTACCAATCACACGTCGCGGGAGAAACCACCTGAGGATACGGGAGCGCCTGAGAATTTTTCGCCCAACATTGTGAAAGCTACCACTTTCAGTACCGCTGTTGAGATTGTGTCGATGTGTTGTCATGTGAAGCAGGCTGCGTGGTTGATTGCATAGGACTGCTACCGAAGACGACGGGCATGGAACGACAGGGGGTCCAACGATTCAACCGCAGTGGAGACTTCCATCGCTGAAGGTATACTTGGTACCTAGCGCCGTAGAGGGCGGGAGGACGGCTGGGTACGGTACCTTAGGTTGATTATGACCCGGACGTGAGCGGCGCTTTCAGACAGCAACCAACATGGAAGGCCGAGAATTCCAGAGGAGGCTGCGGCGCTTTCCAACGTCGGGTTCAACTCAAGGTACCTTGGTTACTCTGTGCTCCGAGAAACGGTGAGAGATTTGGGCGAGTAAGGAGACGTGAGGGTGAGGGTGAGGGGGGGGGGGGCACAGCTGACTGACGGCTGCCTGGATTCCAGTTCATCAAAGTCACTGCGAAGACGAGCTACTGAGAGTGCAGGTTCGGGTGCGGGTGCAGGATATTAAAAGTGAGAAAGGGCAGGTTGAGGTAAAGTGAGGTAAGGTGAGGTAAGGTACGTTCATCCTCGACTTCCTACTGGTCCTCGGAACGGCGCAAGCCAAGTCGATGAGCCCGAATGGCCGGGCATTGGCTTTCGATGGCCCTAAAAGCAGGACGGGATGTTTCTGCACTAGGGATTGCGTACCCAAAGCAGTAGGTAACGAGCCTGTCGACACTTCCAGGTTCCACCTGCATTGTTGACGAGTGGTGATGACCTGCGATGGAGCAGAGAGGCCTCGTCTTCGCCCCCAACCCTCGTTCATCCCTCACACCCGTCCGTCGTCGCCCGTCCATCTGCCCCTCCCTCCCTCCGTCTCTGTTTCCCTCCTTTTTCCGTCATCCAAATAAATAGTTTGCGCCGCCTCATCCAGCCTGCTCACACTCACACATTCTGACCGCCGATTTCTCTGCCCTGCATTTCTGGCTATTTTTCTTGTCGCCGTCCAACGTCCCTCTTTTCTAACACTGCAATTCTAAGCAGCAGCACCAACGGCGTCAAAGGATCCTCGCGCCATTTTCGCAAACGAGACAGACAGACAAAGCATACACTCCGTATTACTTTACTCCAGTACCCTCTCAACCGGCAGCCCCACCAGCATAAACGAACGTCTAAAGAGGTCCGTCCCGCAACGGAGCCACGCTTCGAGCACGTTCCTCACCGAAACATTGAACCACCAAAAAGTAAAAGACATCCACTCTCCCCCGGCCAGAACAGTCCGGCGCAGGACCAGCCCAGGCACGGCGCATTGAGAACTGACAGAGCTGGTACTTTGTAGTCGCCTGTGGGTAGGTGCATTCTCTCGGTACCAAGTCACAGTATCTCCTTTCTTCCTGACCTAATTGCTTTTCCAAGCCTATCCGAACCAACCTCGGGTCGTTCGAACTACCTATCACCGCGCCAGAGAGAGCAACCTAAATTAACACGAAGGAGAAGAGCACCATACGAATTACTCCGCGCTCTGTATCGCCGCATCCCAAAAGAGACGACCCTTTGCGTCTGATCTGCCATCGCCCGTCCCTGTCAGGTCTCAGGTCTCAGGTCCTACCCATCCTTCCTCAAAAAGGTGTCTCAAACCTCACCACACCACCACCACCACCACCACCATCACCAAAAAAGGGGAACCAAGTAAACAAGGTACGTGAAACGTTAGTTACGGTTTCCATCGTTCTTCTGGTCGCGCTTCAACTTTCCTCGCGTCTCTGCAATTCCTCACCATCCCACACCCAACACATTACTCATACCGACGCAAGTGTGTGGTGTAACCTCGTTCTTCATCTGTGTTTCCGTACCTTGACTTGGATTGCAATTCTCCATCTGCATCTTTGTCTGTATCCCCTGTCAAGAAGCTGTCAAGTGCCGGCTACCTGCAGGCGGTCCGCAGGGCAACAAACTATCCGTTACCTCGGCCAGCTGCCGATGTCGATTGTGTTGTTTACTTTACATTTACCCCTCATTCTATTGTCGTTGTTCCCAGTACTGTTACTTGTGATGGTCGTTGTGCCTATCTTGTGGAAGTAAGGTACGGACAGCCACCCCAGACGACAATTGCCTTGGAGGCTCAGCCAACTATGTTTGGACCAGCTTGTCAGTGGCTGTCTGGACTCATACACAATAGCGTAGAGGAGGGGCAACATGGCAAGTCCATGACACACCCGACACTGACGATTCTATGTACGGCCGACGCAACCCCCGGCCAGCGGAGCAGTGCTCACTGCTGACAGTCATTGAATGACAATCGGCCACCCACTTTATTCTGTTAGTCCATTGGATCTGTCGTCCATGGGCCGTGGCCCATCTCCCGGGGCACCCAAGTGGGACAACAAAGCAAGGGGGTCGAGACCGTCGGCCAGCCCAGCACCCAGCAAGGCCAGCACCCATCCCTTCCTCGTGCCCGCTTGGCGCCTCTCTTGGTATTCCCTTCCCTGCCCGTCCCCATACGATGGATGGGACCGATGGGTGCCTTTGGTGCCCCGTCCTCTCTCCCCGTTTTCTCTGCCCGGCGATGGTCACGGCGTTTGCGATGCGAAGATCAGGGCTTCTTCTTCTTCTTCTTCTTCTTCTTCTTCGTTCTGGCACCTCGGATCACTGAAGCCTGCCTGCACCAACCACAACTCTTGGTCAATTTGGCTTGTGCCCTGGTTAACGATTCCCTCTCACCTGACCGTTTTCCAAGTCCCTATTACCAGTACTTTCCTTAGCCTGTACCGCCTGAGAGCGGGCTGACAGGATGGGATGGGATGGCGGGGTTGGGTTGGGCTCGCCCTGGCTGGTCGTAGTGACCGCCAGAAGAGCCATTGTGTTTTTTTCTTGGTGTACATTTGCTTCCCCTCCAACCCGTCCCCCCCCTCCCTTCTCCATGCCTATTCTATCGTGTCTGTGTCTGTGTGTTCATTCCTCATGATTCACCGGAATGTGTGCTGATCTGAGGCTTGTAGCTTAGGTAGGTGGTATCAGTACCCCCAAGGTGGTCTAGGTAGTTTGCTACTGCGTACTCCCACAACGCGGCACTACGGACGGATACGCCTTCTAGTCGCTACTCGGTAAAGTACCTAGTGCTTGAAGCCCGAGGACTGGTCCGCTGTGTCGACCGTTGCCCGCTTTTTGGTTTTGCTCTCACCGACAACCCCCGTCTGTCGGCTACCGGATCCCTGAAGACCAACCGCTTAATCAGGCAATTGCGGTGCCCAGCACGAGATTCCCTCTCCTCCCGCTCCGTCCAAAAGTGGGACGGGTTTCTTCCATTTGGCTGGCACCCTCACTTTTTCTCTCGACCTCTCAACCTCTCGACGCAGCAAGGTACTTCTGCTGTGGACATCGCATGGCATATCGCAGCGCAGCGCAGCACATCACATCGCATCGCCACCCCAACAGGCTTTCTTCTCTAAGGATCTCTCTTTAGGGCTCAGAGTTGCCAATTCATACCGATTCGTCCAGACTTGGCTGCGCGGCTTAGGTTGTGCATGAGGTGTACTTCGTGCCTACTACACAGCACTCCTTCTTGTACCCCGTACGCCTTGGCTTTGGCCTTGTCTACCTAAAAGGTTGTCTTAAACGGAGCGGTCGACTAGACCCGCAATAGCTGCCCAGCTGCCACAATTTTCCTTGCACCCAATCGCGCTTCTTTTTGCGCCCAACTGCACGATCTCGCCAAATAGCAGGGGGCTTCCCTGGTTACATTCCCAAGCCCACGAACGAATATCCACCCACCGCCGACTGCCGCCCTGCCCACCCCTCAATTTTCGCAAACCGTCCGTCTCGTCTCGTCTCGACTCGTCCTGCAACTCAGTCCTTCGCACAGAAACTTTGTTTTGTTCAAGTCTGCCGCCGCCGTCGCCTCTCTTACCGCTCTACGCTGCTGTCATCTGATCGCTCTGTTTTGCTTTCAATCTTAACCGTCAACCCATCCTATCCTCCCTTTCCTTCTTCCGCCACCAGTTCGTTGCTTGGAATCCACCCACCACCCTTGTGCCAATTGCGCCAGGACGAACGCTGTACCCGACCTACACACCATCACATTCGTGCCCTCGACACCGAATTCCTGTCGGTTTCCCATAGAGGAACCCTGACTTTCGCCCACCCTATTTCATCCCACGTCCTCGCTCGATTCACCCCTTTGCTCCGACTTTCTTGCGAGATCGTCGTGAGTAAAGGGTCTTTTTCTTCGCCACAGACTTCCTCATGTCGTCCGCGTAAGTCTTATATTTTCAACTACGCCAGGGACCAATCGACTTGGTGGCTTTCACCATACACCAGTCAACTAACACAACCGGAAGACGAGCACAACCATATCGACGCCCGGGTCATCTGTCGTCCGCGCCCATAGCGTCTCAATCCACCTCTGCAAGTGAAGACGAGTCGTACTACCAAGGCAGCCACCATCACGAAACTGAAGGTATCAGCTCCTCCGAAGTCTCGGAAACAGATTCTTCCATAGCAGACTCCGAGGATCTTGAACCAGACGACTCGGCCTCAAACGACGGTGCTCCCCGATACTCTCGTCCGGCGCTACCGCAACATCATCAGCAACATCACCATCAACAACATCATCCGCAGCAACAACGCGCAGTCCAATATCGTCAACACCACATCCCCCAACCTACTGCTCCTCCCCCCGGCACATCCATCCAATACCCGTATCGGCCCGGTCCAGTGCCGACCCCAACTGAAAGCCTGGATTCCAACGACTACGACGCGTCCCCCTTTGGCCCCCGTTCCGGCTACGGTCACGTACCGGCGCCTGGCCATGGGGGGCATCCTTCCTACTATGGTGGTCGTGGTGGTCACCCGCAGCCTGGCTACCCTCAAAGTCACGTAGGCGGCTACGGCGCCCCGAGCCCATACGGCCATCCCGAACCCCGGATGTTGGGATATGGTGGTTACAATCACAATGCCTTTTCACCAATGTCGAGTCACAGTGGGCAAAGCTACTTCGGAGGAGAGCCCGGACGATACGATATGATGCCGTACCAGCAACAGCACCCACCGGCCCATTACAACCCACACGGCTATCAACAGATGCAACACCACATGCAGTACATGGGCGGACAATTCCCTCCCCCTCCCCCTACAGAAGCACCGCAACCGTCCAAGACCCCCGCACCCGAGCCGCCACCAAAAGAGGACCCAGAGAAGAAGAAGCTCCAACAAGAACTCGAGCTATTCAAAAAGATGCAGGCTGAGAAGGAAGAGCAGCAGAAGCAGAAAGAGCTGGAGGAGAAGCTTCGGAAAGAAGCAGAAGAGAACATCAAGCGACGAATGGAGGCCCTGAAGGAGGCCCAGGAGCTCGCGCAAAAGGAGATTGAAAAGGCAAAGATTGAGGCCGAAAAGGCAGCCAGAGAGGCTATTGAGGCTGAACGCAAAGCCGAGGAGCAGAGACAAAAGCTTCACCAGGAAGCCATGGCCAAGGTTGAGCGTGAAGCCAGGGAGAGGCTGGAACGCGAGTTGAAGGCCGAGGCTGAGCGTAAGAGGCTTGAGGAAGAGGCCCGCATCAAGGCCGAAGCCGAAGCGAGGCAACGTCTCAAGGAGGCAATCCAGGCCGAGGCCGATGCCAGAGCCAAGGCCGCCGAAGAGGCCGAAGCCAAGAGAAAATGGGAGGACGAAATGCGCAAGAAGGCCGAAGACGAAGCCCGTGCCAAGATGGAGGCCGAGAAGAAGGCAGCTGCCGAGGCTGCAGCGGCGCAAGCAAAGCTCGAAGCCGATCTCAAGGCCAAGGCTGAAGCCGACTGGATAGCCAAGGTCGCGGCGGAGAAGAAGGCGGCGGAGGAAGCTGCGGCGGAGAAGAAGAGGTACGAGGAGGAGATGAGATTGAAGGCCGAAGCCGCAATCGCTGCCGAGAAGAAGGCCGCCGAGGAGGCTGAGGCAGCCAAGAAGAAGTACGAGGAGGAAATGAAGGCCAAGGCCGAGTTTGAAGCTCGCACCAAATTGGAGGCTGAGAAGAAGGCCGCCGAAGAGGCTGCTGCCGCCGCCGCCGCTGCTAAGAAGGCCGACGAGGAGCTCAAGAAGAAGTACACCGAAGAGGCCAAAGCCAAGTACGAGGCCGACAAGAACAAGGGCAAAGACAAAGCCCCTATCAAGTTCAAGGATGCCGTGGGCAGGAAGTTCAGCTTCCCCTTCCACTTGTGCTCAACCTGGACAGTACGTTTGCCTTACAAACTATTTGCTCTCGCTGGCGCCAAACTGACCTTGATGTAGGGTATGGAAGAGCTCATTAAACAAGCCTTCATTCACGTGGACGTCATCGGACCGCATGTACAAGAGGGTCACTACGATTTGATTGGGCCTAATGGCGAAATCATCTTGCCCCAGGTCTGGGACAAGGTGGTCGAGCCAGACTGGACCATTGAGATGCGAATGTGGCCCATGGATAAGGCGCCTCCGCGCATGCCTATGCCGCCGCATGGCATGCCGCTCGACCCTGCCACCAGAGAGAGGATGGCGCATATGGCAGGCATGAGGCAACATGGTCATGCTCGAATGGGCAGCTTCCCTCCGGGTATGGCTCCTCCAGGTGGCAGGCCTGGCGGCGGCGGCCCACAGCCACCTCCCCCACCGGGCTGGGTCGGTCCCGGCGCACGTCCCGGCGGTCACGGCATGCCTGTCAACGTCGTTACGGTTGAGCCCGGCAAGCCCTCTAAGCACAAATCCAAAGCTAAGGGCTCGATGCTCAATTTCTTGGCCGGCGGTGCTGCAAAGGCTCCCAAGAAGAAGTAAGTTGCCAAATGTTATTGCCACGCTGGTGCTGTGCGCTAACAGATGCGTAGGAAGAAATGATGACCAGCGCGCATATCGGAACTTTCCTTGAACTCTAAAGACCTGTTATGATCACACACAACTCAACGAACTTGCCGGGCTGGGGGTCCTTATTTGTTTTTACATATGATACCTTGTCGCGCCTTCTTTTCCACATTATTCAGATTCCCGTCAGTCAGATCGAGCCTCCGAAATGCATCTTACGGCAACCACGGTTCATTTCGACGATCTTATAACGCATGTATGCCGGAGTATGAGCTGCGTGAGGGCGGGACACCTATTTCCCCAGAGAGAGACCGTACATGTTTTGGCGGAGCATTGCATGCATCATGGGGGGCAAGCTAGGGGGACGACAATTTTTCTTTTCGAGGCATGGCGCAAAAAGAGGAGGACAAGACTGTGAGGCCCATCTGGTAGATATTTATTCTTTTGGTTTATTCTTCTTGCACAGACAAGTTATGGTGTGGTAGATTATTGGCGACGAAAACGAACATTGCACTGTTTTACATATTCACTTCTTGACAATGACCTCACGACGACTTTTACTTTCTAAGCCTTTCCCATGTCTTTACTAGTCTACATGTTGTACAGCTCTTCTACAGAGAAGTTTGGGTAAGAACCCTTTATAGTCTGGGAGTACCCAAAACCGCCTTTACACGTTTCTGGAACGCCTCAATCATGACGCCCGCCACCTTTTCAGAAACCGCAGCGCTGACGGCCGAGTACAACGGATTCGCAAACTGGAACCGAATCACCAGATCCACCTCGGTGCCCGTCCCGGAGGCAAGCGGCCTCAGCTGCCACTTTGTAACCAGACTCCTAAACACGGCGCCGCCCTCGCCTCCGTTACCGGGACTCGCGCCCTCCACGTCGGCGCCGCTGATCGCCTCGACGCTTTTCCCCGGCACGCAGTGGAGTCTACTCGTGAACGTCTCCTCGAAGCCGCCCCAGCCGACGCGGAGGTCGGCTTGCGTTGGGTACCGCCGGCCGCCGTTTGCCGGGTCCGGGTCGGGTGCGGACCAGGCTGTCACGCGGGATGCGGCGCAGTAGGGGACGAAGGTCTGGTAGG